AACTGGGCTTGGGGGCAGGTCTCTGGGGTTTTAGCTCTACTTCTCTCACCAAATAGCAGTGTGAACTTGGCACATCGTAATTCTGTTGTAATTTCCACATTTGTCAAATGGAAACATAAGCCTGTGAGCCTCTAGTGAGATCATTAATGTGAAGACACCTTGATACAATGTGTTATATATTCAAGGGCCCAGCCTTGGACGAACATTTCGAAATGTGTCTTGATCAGAGTTCTGACTCCTCTTTTTTTTTTAATTTATTTTCTTATTTTGGTATCATTAATGTACAGTTACATGAGCAACATTATGGTTACTAGACTCACCCCATTATCAAGTCTCCATCACATACCCCATTGCAGTCACTGTCCATCAGTGTAGTAAGATGCTGTAGAATCACTACTTGTCTTCTCTGTGCTATACTGCCTTCCCTGTGCCCCTCCAACTACATTCTGTGTGCTAATCATAATGCCCCTTTTTCGCCCCTTATCCCTCCCTTCCCACCCCTCCTCCCCAGTCCCTTTCCCTTTTTAACTGTTAGTCCATTCTTGGGTTCTGTGAGTCTGCTGCTGTTTTGCTCCTTGTTTTTGCTTTGTTCTTATACTCCACATATGAGTGAAATCATTTGGTACTTGTCTTTCTCCACCTGGCTTATTTCACTGAGCATAATACCCTCTAGCTACATCCATGTTGTTGCAAATGGTAGGATTTGTTTTCTTCTTATGGCTGAATAATATTTCATTGTGTATATGTACCATATCTTCTTTAGCCAATCATCTACTGATGGACACTTAGGTTGCTTCCAATTCTTGGCTATTGTAAATAGTGCAGCGATAAACATAGGGGTGCATGTATGTCTTTTTCAAACTGGGCTCCTGAATTCTTAGAGTAAATTCCTAGGAGTGGAATTCCTGGGTCAAATGGTATTTCTATTTTTACTTTTTTGAGGAACCTCCATACTGCTTTCCACAATGGTTGAACTAATTTACATTCCCACCAGCAGTGTAGGAGGGTTCCCCTTTCTCCACATCCTCACCAACATTTGTTGTTGTTTGTCTTTTGGATGCTGGCCATCCTAACTGGTGTGAGATGATATCTCACCGTGGTTTTAATTTGCATTTCTCTGATGACTAGCGATGTGGAGCATCTTTCATTGTGTCTGTTGGCCATCTGAATTTCTTCTTTGGAGAAGTGTCTGTTCAGCTCCTCTGCCCATTTTTGAATTGGATTATTTGCTTTTTGTTTGTTCAGGTGCATGAGCTCTTTATATATTTTGGATGTCAACCCCTTATCAGATATGTCATTTATGAATATATTCTCCCATACTGTAGGATCTTTTTGTTCTACTGATGGTGTCCTTTGCTGTACGGAAAGGAAGCTTTTTAGTTTGATATAGTGGCACTTGTTCATTTTTGCTTTTGTTTCCCTTGCCCGGGGAGATATGTTCATGAAGAAGTTGCTCATGTTTATGTCCAAGAGATTTTTGCCTATGTTTTTTCCTAAGAGTTTTATGGTTTCATGACTTACATTCAATGTCTTTGATTCACTGACCCGTCTGAGGTGCCCATGAGCCCATGTCTTTGGGCCTCTGTCAGAATGGGGACAAACCAACAAATGTACTTGAGTGGAGTTGCGTCATCTTTACAGATGCGCTGCAAGCATCAAGCCCTGCTCTTCCTGCTGGCTCACAGATACGAACCGTACATGATATATTATATGGCAAAGTGCTTCACAAACTGTGAAGTGCCATTGGATTTACTTATGAATGATACATTCCTCCCTTATTATATATTAGTCCTTAAAGTTTTGTTAAAAAGTTATCAAATATTTTATTTTTGAATTTAATAAGTTGTTCTCTCTGGATGTTTCTTTTTTTATTGGAACAAAGCTGATAAATAATATTCTCTCCAGACATTTTGAGAATCCATATGCATGCATTTCATTCATCCTTGCAGCACACACACATTGAGGGTTGATTTAAATATATATGCATATATATCTGCTTTTACTTCTGTAATTTTGAAGTGGAGTATAAATATCCATAAGGGGTAATAAAAGATAATTTGATGAATGGGAGAAGAAAACTTAGTTAGGGGCAGAAGAAATGAAACAGGCCCAGAAGCTATTCAGCTCCCCCAGTAGATTCTATAAGGTCCTGCCCTGCTTTTTTAGCTGTTGGACACAAGCTTGACTTTGAGCTTTCAAGGCCAAGACAAAGGCTTAAACACAGTCCATTAGAGATTTCCATCAAGAAAAGTTGGGAATGCAAATGCAGATTTGTTATATGCCAAGTTTTAAATGTTGACAACTAATTCAAGTTTGTTTAAACGCTGTGGGGCACACAAAATATTTGTGAAAGCTAAATCAAGCCCACAGATCTCAAGTTTACAATCCCAAGTGCACGGGTTGAGGGAAGATGGTTTTGTATAAGGCGAGGCACAGACGCTGGGATCCACGCTATAAAGTGGGTGCAGCACAGGTTGGGAGGAGGGGCAATACGAGGACTGATCTGTGTTTCCCTCAAATTCCTGCGCTGCTGCCAGGATCCCCAGTGTGACTGTACTTGCAGACAGGCCTTTTAGGAACTCATTCAGGTTCAATCAGGTCAGAAGACTGGTGCCTGTCTAAGAGAAGGAAGATCTCTTTCTGCACACTCCCTCCCTGAAGGCACGCCACGTGAGGACACGGGAGGAGGCCGTCTGCCAGGCCCACGAGTGCTCCCACCAGAACCCAGCTCTGCTGGCACCCTGATCGACAGCCTCCAGGCCCCATGACTGCGAGAAATCAGTTTCCCCCGTTCGGGCCAGCCAGTCTATGGTGCTTTGTTCCGGCAGCCAGAGCAGACTAACAGGGAGCCTGGTCAAACTTGCCGGCCCCTGTGAAGGATGAGCGGCTGAGCCACTCCAGGAAACCATATTGATGCCACGTTCACCTCTTCAGGATTCTGGACATGTATTTTGGTGGCAAATGAAATGAGCTGAAAAAGACTTAGGAGGCGTCTTGGATTTGAAGGCTAGGATCCCAGATGAAGTGATACAAGCCCAGTCAAGAGCAGGCACCAACGAGCTCCTGGACCCAAGAAGGCACAGGACATTAAGGCTCTTGTCCCTAACACATCTGTGCTGAAGGTGTATTTTGTAGTTGGTATAAACTTTAAAGAATCTTCGCAGCCTACATTTTTTATTAACAGCCCACTTTCCAGTCCTGTCCTTCTCAGGGTTTAAGGCAGGCAAAGGAGACGTTGTAAGTGGTCTGTGTTAAAGCCAGAATGAAAGGCAATAGGAGTCTGGGATTGCTAACGGGGAGGCTTTGTGCTCCGTCCTCCTTTGTATTTGCATCTCCCCAAGTGGGCATAAAGGACAGCGCATGAATGCCTGCTCTGAAAGGGAACATGCCTCTTTGTGTGAGTAATGGCACCTGATTCCTAAGCTACTTGCGGAGCATAATACACTATCTGAGCAATTTGTGCATTTGGGACTGAGGCCTTTGTAAGAGTGGTGGAGAAGTTGCTTCCAGAGGAGTTCCATTGAGGATATAATTAGTATTTGATAATGAATGAAAATTAACTCATGCGAAATAAAGATATCCTTCAGAAGGCTTCCAATATATCTTCACGAAGCATGACTGGACTATTCACACTTAAATGAACTTACCCCAGCCTACACTGCCAAATCTTCCTCCCATCCCCCTTCACTTTTGGCTACAGTCATGTGGCTTTTCAAACATACCTGCAATACTACCAAATATGCTCCCAGATATGTGGAGGCAGCATGCCGTCATATATAAAAGCATAAACACTAGATCTAGGCTTGCAGACTCAAAGCCCAACTATAGTAATTACTGTTACCTTGGGCCAGTTACTTAGTATCTTTGTGCCTTAATTTCTTTATCTGCAAGGGGGTGACATTAATAGGACTTACCTCATAGGGATGCTATGAAGACAAAATGAGTTAGTACTTGTAAAATTCTTGGAACATTGCCCAGGAGACAGTAAATCCCACATGCTTATTAAATAAAATGCCTCTGTGTCTCTGTATGTTCTTTTCCTTTTGCTCAGATTCTCATCCTCCACTTTGTCAGTCTCCATATTACTCCTAAGGCTTTTAACAGCTTTAATGAGGTGTAACTGACATGAAATAAACTGCACATACTTAAGTTTTGACATATGCATAATTCATGAGCACATCACCACAGTCAAGACAATGAACACATCCCATCACCCCCAAAAGGTTTCTCATGCCCCTTATAATTTTTTCTCCCTTCCCTGTCCCCACTTTCCCACACAACTTCTAGTCTACTTCCTGTCATTATAGATTTGTTTGAATTTATCTGGAGTTTCATTAAAATGCAATCTATGTCTTTGGTGTCTGGCTTCTTTCACTTAGCCTAATGTTTTGCAGGTTCATCCATGGTGTAGTATGTATCAGTGGTTAGTTCTTTTTTGTTGCTGAGTAGTATTCCATTGTATGGATATACCATATTGGTTTATCAATTACCTATTGATAGACATTGGGATTTTGTCTGCTTTGTAACACTCGTTTTTATAGTGCCTGACACATACTAAGTACTCAATAATTCAAAAGAAATGAATGAAAGAATGTCTTTCTGGTATGCTTCAACTTGTTTTAAAGCTCAAGTCATTGCTACAATGAATATTATGCAACTATTGAAAACTATGTTTTCAAAGAATATTTCCTCATATGTATCAACACAGATTGCTGATAACATATTAGGCAAAAAAGGCAAAGCCTTGTAGTGCATAAAGGCATAGTATACACGGAGGATTCTAATAAAAAAAACATCAAGGGATATAATCTCTTTGATTTCACTTTTAAAGTTTTCCATATTTTACAAATATTTGACAATGAAAAAGATAAACTTTTTGATGAAGTGTAATTATATTTTAAGGAATATTCTGCTTAAATGTTACTTCCTCCATGAAGCCTTTGCCATCTCCCATCTAGGCAGGACCAGTTACTCCTTCAAAGGCAACAAATCTCAAAGGCTTACAGTTACAAGCCTTTATTTCTCACTCTTGGGTGTGCAGGTTGGCGAGGTGGGGTGCTTTGCTTCAGGCTGGGGTGGATGGGATCAGCCTTCTCCTGGAAGAGATGAGTGCAAACACATACTTCCTCTCAAGGTGAGGTTTAGACCGGCCCATGGCCCTTTACATTCACATTCCATGAGCAAAATGAGACACACAGCCAAGCTTGTGGCCGTGGGGCAGGGTGATCCCTCCACAGAGACTGCAGGGGATGGGAGACCAAATACTTGCTGAACAATCATTTCATCTACTATATTGTAGGAGATAAAACACTGGTTTTGGGGTCTTTCAAAACTGGACAAAAGCCTCCAAAAAAGCTTTTTCCCCTTTTGTTAACTGGAGATAATGAAATGTTCAAAGAGGGGCTGTGAGCTTTCAGTGTGACAGGTGGGTGCTGGCCACAGATGTGCCACTGCTAGGGTGAGCCTCCTCCATCAGGAGAGCTGGGTGTGAAGGCTTCCCAGGGAACCTGGCGCAACGCTGCCGCTGGGCTCACGCCCCTTCCTGCCCCGTGGCCCCTCCTCCTGCCCCCTGCAGACCTGCACTGCAGGGGGGAGAGCCTCTGCCAGCGGCCTCACCTTTCTCCTGCTCAGGTATCTTCCCCAGTGCGTCTCGAGCACATTTCATTCCACATTTGATCTTGGCGCCTGCTTCTTGGAGGACCCAGACTGAGCCGCTGAGTAGCCAAGTGCCTACAAAAGTGCCTGGGAAGAAGCAGGAACACAGGACATTTTGTTCTTAAACGAGCCTTCTGTTTACTCTCAAGAGCTCTCGCGCGTATCTCATCTATAGCTGCTGGCACCCTTCATGCATAGTTGTGTTTTTTATTGTGGTAAGCTACATATAACATAACATTTCCAATCTGAACCGTTTTTAGGTGTAAAATGCAGTGGCATTCATCACATTCACAAACCTGTGGAACCATCACTGGGATCTACTTCTAAAACTTTGTCATTGTCCCAAATAGACTGTAACCCTGAAGCAGTAACTCGCCTCCCCCACCCTGCCCTTCCCCGTCCCCAGGCCCTGGTAACCTTTCTTCTCCTTTCTGTTTTATTGCCCATCTCCCTGCTTAGCTGAATTCATAAGACCGGAATTTTGTTCTAGTTGTCTCTGTGCCCTAGCCAGTGTACTAAACCTTGACTGTAGTGGAGTAAGAAATATAAGCAGGGCTGGCTCCTAGACCTTTTCTAACACGAATGTAGTTTTGGTTGAAGTTACCATCTCTCCATCTTTTTGCTTCATAGTAAAACTTGTCAATAAAGAAAGGGAGGTTCTTTGCTCATCACGGTTTGTTCTACCTCTTCTGTCTCTCCTCATGCGCCGTCCTCTTGACTGCATTTTCTATGGACTCCAGTGCACGACTGTGTTAAATACAATGCCAGAGGGACGTCAACAGAAGGGTCTGTAACCAAGGGCCAAAGGCAGAATACAAACTCTCCCCTTTCTCAGTTTTAGTTAGCCTGGAAAAGTCAACACGATATGCTCTAGAGGATTCACCAGAGGGGCCTTTCCTTGACCCGGCATTTGCTCCTGTTCCTACTCAAATGAACTGAACTGGCTGACATCTCTGTGTAGAAATGTATACCCATCTTTCTGCATAAAAGGAGCCTGGAGCACTTCAAAATAAAAATACAGCCATTACCTTCTGAGAAAATCAAGCGTAACAGCTCAGAACCTGTTAGAGTTTAGGCTCCACGCACAGACTGGGTTCCCGGGCCTATTGAAGGCGTGCTAGAGCAACTACAGCAAGGGCGCCGTGCTGAGCCTGCTTGGAGCTCAGGGCAGGGAGGGCAGGGCTTGAGGTCAGCCTGTCAAGGGCATATCACCGACTCCAACTCGGTCTGGAGATGTGGGGGTTCCCCTCTGACAGGGTAATGATTTAGAGCGGGGTTTCTCAACCTTGGTGATATTCCTATTGGGGGCTGATCACTTTTTGCAATGGGAGCAGTCCTGTGCATTATAAGATGTTTACAGTAGCGTCCCTTACGTCCATACACTAGACACCAGTATCACCCCACCTGCCCCATGAGCGATGACAACCAAAAACGTCTCCAGACATTGTCAATCTCCTGGAGGGCTGGGGGGGAAACAAAAATCTCACACATTCATTGATTTAGATGAAAATGGCCATGAATGAATTTTACCATGGCATTATGACTGAGTTTCTGCATTTTGAATCTGGAGATTCTGTTATTGCAGGTGTTTCTTTTAAAGGCTTTTCTGTTTGCATTTCTGTGTCAGAATGAGGAAACAGAAGGAGCGCTTTCACAGACCTCCTGCTCTCATATCCTTCCTTCTTACTCATACCTGCTAGGGTTTCTTTTCCCCCCTTTTCCTATTGAGAAATGAGTACTGCCTTATCAAGCTGATTTAGGTTTGCAGTTGGCTCTATTTTCCTCCTGCACTAACTCAACACATACATGCTTTTTTATAACAACAACAAAAAAAACTTTTTGACAGGTGGTTTATGCTGGCTAGACTTCACTATTTAATAAAGCATTCTGAGGGGTTTCATTTTATGAAGCATCACAAATACTTCATTTTCTGAGCATCAGGGAAGTTCTAAAAGTACGTTAAACCCTCTTTCAAGAAAGGGACTGTTGGACGGAAGCCCTAGGCCTCCTATTTCCTCGAGGGCTTTCTCAGGCTTGAGGGAAAAGCAGACACTTTCTGGGTGAGCACACTCGGCCTAAGCTCACCAGGGAGCTAGCAGCTTAATTAACATTTATAAAACATTTTTGAGATGGAAAACACCATTAGCTCAAACCACTGCAATGAAAAGTATTATTTACAAAACCTCCTGCACACTTTAGCATCTGTCTTAACAGGTCCTGAGGGAGACAGAAAAGACTAGAAATACCGAAGGATAACAGAGATGATGGAGGTCCTAACAGGACTCCTGGCGCCAGGAAAGGCAGCACTCAAGATAATGATAGATTCGGTAGCCAGTATGCTGCGTATAGTCCTACCATCCAGGGCAGCCTTGAGCAACTTATGATTTATGTGGTAAATCATAGAAAGGCTTCTATTTTTCTGATGCCCCAGATATTGCTGAAACAAGAAATCTATGGTTTCAAAGCCAGAATGAGCTTCAGGAGACAGAATCAGCCAGCTGGTAAGGGTGCATCGGCTAAGAAACTCAGGCAGTAAGGGGACTGCTCCGAGGCCATAGGGCCCCAGGAATGTCCCAGACATGTAGTGCTGCTTAGCCCAGAAGGCTTCATGGCGTCCCTGTGGGCATGGCCCTTTCCCGGAGTCAGAGGCAGGAAGGCAGGAGTGGACGTCCATTTTACTGACAAGGGGTCGTGGCAGAGGTACCACATATTTGAGGAGCCTGGGATTTATACAACTGAAAGGCAAACAGACGAGGTCTTTCTCAGCTCAGAGGGGACTCAGAATTTGGCCTTCAAGCCAGCTTCTGCAGCAGCCTGGCATCCCTGTGTTGGACACACCCTATGTGGCCAAGGGCTGGGCCTTGGGAGGCCAAGCATAAGAGGGCGGAGTTGTGCCTCTGAGCTGTACCACTTTAACGTGCCTCAGAAGGAACCTGGAAGCTGCCAGAATACCCAGGACTTCCACCAGACTTCGGGCGTCCCTCCCTCTCCAAACCAGGTCCAGCCATATGATTAAGTCTGTCTCCAACTGCCACTCCATTGTGTCTGGAGACCTGTCCCAACTACCTTCTAACTACATAATCCTTAACTGATGGCATTACTGAGAAGAGAGCTTGATTAAACTTGTAAAAATTTGCATTGGTTTCCAAGTCCGTTCTAAACTTATAAAATTAAACATTTTATCCTTTGGGGGGAAGAGTTGTAAATATGTGTGTTTCTTGGGAATTTAATTTAAGCTTAGTATTAAGCCTGAAGTTCTATCAATTTATCCTTCATTTCAGTGTTGGTAATAAATGGACAATAAATGGATCTGATTTTCCCATACATTGTGGTATCTCTGGCTTTCCTCCAGGAGCCACAGTACTAGAAGCATGAGTGCCTTAGCAGATCCTGACTTGCTGTACTATGGATTTGAATCAATTGGGCAAAGACACACAGATCAGGCTATTTTGCTTTTTCAATGGCTGCCCATTGCAGTTCCAATGAAAGCCAGGCTCCTCCCCATGACACACAAGGCCTTGAGAAATGTAGCCCTCCCCTTGGGCTACCCCCACTCACACCCTGCACCCCCTTGCCCTTCCTTGCTGTCCCCCGGCCACAGCCTCCCACGTTTGCTATTCCTAGGATGCTTACCCCTTCACTCTTCAGCTGCTTGGCCCCTTCCGGCCATTCCGTTTCAGCTGTCCTCAGAGAGAACGTCCCTGACCCCTCAAACTGAACAAGCCCCTTTCCCCAGTTACTATCACTTTATCACTTGTAGAGTACTTATTCCTCAGTAATTAATATACAGGTGAAGACCTACATTATCTATTCTATCCAGTGTGTCCATGTAATGTATTGGGCCAACTGAGACACCCTGCAGAGGGCGGGCTATTAATAATTAGGCTGGGACAGTGCAATAATAGGGACACCAGGATGTGTGGGTCATGGGAGCTGTGGCCCACTAGAGAACACAGCCTTCCTTAAGGCATGGACCTTGTCTGGCTTCTTCACCATCAATCCCCAGAGCATGGAGCTGTACCTACAACGGGTAGAACTTTATTGTTGAACGAAGGACTTAAATGTGCATAGACGTACACATTTCATTTTTCCATATACTGACATTACAATTTTAAGAGGAATCAGAATACAAAATTGTATATCCACCTTATGGTTCTTATGTAATATGTATTAATACGGATAATAACTGATAAAGAACAGGACAACTTTAGGTGTTCATGCAATGGTGTTGCAATGATTGGCATTTTCTTTTTCAACCTCTTTATCCCTGTAAGAACACTGTCAGTACAATTTTCAAAGACTCAAAGGAAAAAAATGGGAAAAAGAATGTTTCCTTAAGCAGCATATCTGATCCTCAACTGCAGCTTCAACCTAGGGTTGCCCCTTTTATGAATGGTCTGAAAACAAGGCACCCCTGCCACAACGCATGCCAGTAAGATGGATGTCCACTTCCCGCCTTTCTAACAGGGACTCAGTTCTAATGAAAGTTTTATACTGTTACATTGATGACAGAAGCTAAATTACACTCACATGCATGTTGTAAGAAGTCTGGGAAATGGAGTTTTTTGCTCTCTTGCCTTCACACACTAGAAGAAAGAATGGTGGTTGAACAAGCTAATTCACAATCATCTAAACTATCAAGCTGCATTCATTGACTGAAAAAACATTTTTTTGAGTGTGTACTCTGTGCATGGGCCAGCGTGAAGGCACATGGGCAAGTTTATTCAGCCTCATTTCTTTAATTTTCTTTCTCCATCATTATCCTCATCTACTATTGCGGGTTAACCCCTTTACCTCTCTTTTCCCGTGGGTAAGACTACACTTACGGGGTCTTGGCCTGACATGTTCAATGGTGTCAAGATGCAGAGCAGCGATTCCATACTCAGACCTACAATGGTTGTAAATGGACCCCAGAGTGGTTACCTGGGAGGAGAAGGGAACTTCACAGGGATCCCACTTGGCTGAACCGATTTAGACAAGGTTGCTTCCCTTCTCCAGACACACACGTAGCTGGGGGTTTAGGAGGAGGACCCAGGGCTTCCCTAAGGAGAATTTTACACTGAATACATGAGCAAAAAAGCCAAGTGCCCGATGGAGAGTCTGGCCGATTGGAAATGCATTTCCTGAAACATACTGATTCAAACAAGCACTGGAGCACTTGCCTTTATTGCTTTTGAACCGGTCTCAGGCTTTCAGAACAAAGAAAACAAGGTGGTAGAAGAGCACTTGACAACTAGACAATTGTGTGACCTTGATCAACCTCTCTGCACTCAGGGCTCTCCCACTCGTGGTAGTGTTGGACTAGTTCAATACCAAGTTCTTTGGCTCTCATTTTCTACGTTTCAATGGTATAATCTAAATAGCAATTAAATAACTGAATTAATTGGATAAGAGCTATTCAAGTCCCCATTAATCTACATCATGTTTCACATATTTTTCTCACATATCATCTAATATCTATTCCATCAAGAAAGTGAGAACACAAATGTTTTTCTCGAGAATATGTACACCAGTAATCCTCTCCCCTTGGTTGCCCCAACCCTTTAACTAAGAAGTGGCTCTATAGCCTAATTTTCTTTAGGAATAACCACATTGTACATGAAATTTATCTGTGTTGATGGTTCCTAGAAATTAAAAAATTTCATAAATGTGGGCCTGAGATGCCTGGTACCAACATCATCATGGAGAAACTGAACAAATAAAGACAATATGATTGTAAATGAGATAAGGAAATATGATTGTGAATGAGATTTATCAGTCACTGAATGTTAAAAATCCCTTTAACCAAATACATAGCTAACCGAAAAAAGTATTCCATTTTCTTTCCTTCCCACAGACACCAATATTGACAGAGATGCCATCATCTCTTGATGGGTATCTGCAAAATCCTAAGGTCATCAGTGTTGTTAGGAATACCATTGTCTCTTTCCAGAATACATAAGAAAATCTGAGGATAAGTAACATAGTTGTCGATAGATGATAATCTTACCTGGACACCTAGAAAATCCTATGGTCCATACCATGGTTAGGGCCACCATCATCTCTTATCTAGATACCTGCAAAAACCTATGGTAACTAACATGATTAAGGACACATCATTCCTTACCTGGACAAATGATAGATCCCAAGGCCATTAGCATGGTAAGGGACCTATGAACTCTTACTTGGATACATGCAAATTTCAAAGGTCATCATCTGCCTGCAGAGCAGCAAAAATCCCTGTGGGCAGTTACATAATCAGACAAGTAAGATCTCTTAACCTGAACACGCAGTCAGGCCCAGGATCAAGATCATGGTAGGGACATACCACCTCTTGCCTCGATAACTGCAAAATGTCATGGCCATTCTCTTGATTAGGGACACCATCAAGTCTTACTTGGGTACCTGCAAATTGCCAAGGAAAATACCTTAGTTAGAGACACCTTCATAGTGTGACAGGATATTTGCAAACTTCCTCGGACCACCACCATGGCTAGTCAACACAACTTACCAGGATGCTTGCAAGTAAATATGGTTACTATGTTGGCTTAAGAACACCATCATTAGTCTACCTGGGTATCTTCAAAGCCTTCTGAACTCTAACTTTGGAACAAATACCACCATCTTACTTGGATGCCAGCAAAATTTTGCTTTCAATACCATATGGAAGTTCCCAACAATGTCTTAACTGGACAAAAAACAAGGAGGCAACAGAGTATAAGGACAATTCTGCAACTTGGGTACTTGAAAATCCTATAAGCACTACAAACTTAAGGGGAACCATTAAATTTAGCCATATACTTATAAAAACTCAAGGTCACGACCTTGGATAGAGAGTGGATATCTACAAAAATACCAGTGAAGAGAGGATGGTTTGACTGACAATAGTATTTAATTTGGGATTGGGCTGGCATCATATGATCATGTCTTGATTGGATTCTATAAAAATTTTTGATAAAAACTGTGTTAGGAATACAGGCAAAACCTAAATATCTTCAGAAGTCCATCAAATTTAGGGGGTCCATCAAAACTACCTGGAAACATGAAGAAATTCAAGGTCCATACCCTAGAGACGCAATCCTGTCTCAACAATATAACTGCAAAAAGCCATGGTTAATAACGATGTGATGGACAAAACAATGACCTACCTGGAGACCTACATAATCCCTCAGCCACTACTAAGGTTAAACAAACATTATATATAAACTCTATAAGAAGGGCTCATGCTTACCGGCTTTAGTTGACAATATCATTTCTTACCTGAATACCTGCCCAAGAAATGGCAACACAGAAGTTAGGAATACCATCCACACCTACCTAGATTTCTGAGTACCTGATGGTCTGCAGCATGCAAAAGGCCCACATCATCACTCACCTGGTCACAAATAAAATCCCCTTAATGATGACTATGAGGTTTACCATGATCTCTTAACAGTAACCTGAAACACACATTGTAATAAATGGACACACTTTTTTTACCTGGACCCTGAAAATAACCTTGTTACTACCATCGCTGCAGGACTCATGAAATCTACCTGGAATCTCGCAGTACTCCAAGGTCTATGCCATTGTTAAGATACGATTATCTCTTGAATGCTCACCTGCCAAAAAATAAATGGTTATTTCTGACTTGCAGCTCCATGATAATTACATGGATATCTGAAAATTGCTCATCACTCACATGGTTAAACATAATCTTGGCAGGATAACATGGTTTCTAGAATTGGTAAAACATTATCATTTCTTACCTGGAAAACCTACCTGAAAAATCTCATAGTGAAAAACAAGAGCAAACATCCCTGACCTAAGTGTATGAAGATTGGATAGTCTGTGATACGGCGACAATGCATATTTCCTGGCTTCCAGAAATGTCTCCTGTTAACAGCCATTGTTAGGTTCACTGTGACCTCTTGACATGAATTTAAAAAACACCATTTGATATAGGTTTGAAAGGAAACAATGTGTTCCACCACTATACCTGCAAATGACATTCATCACTTTCCTCAGAATGAGAACATCAACTCTACGACAAGATCAAGAACATTGTCAGGTAACACAACATTTCTTACCAGGAAACCTGCAAAATTTCCATAGTCTCTACCATGGCTGAGAATATCACGATAATTACCTGGATATGTGATATGACTGAACACTCACATAGAGAAACAAAAAATTCCTCTAACACATACAACATGAAAACTCATGATTTCTAGACTGCTAAGGGATCTGTCGTTTCCTACCTGAGTGCCTGCCAAGAAATCACGGTAACAAGTGTGAGGGACACCGTCATCACTAAGATATCTGGAGATCAGATGTTCTGTGCTGTCGGTTGCGCCCCTATCATCACTTACCTGCATACCTGCAGTGTCCCCATTAATGACCCATTTTAGGTTCATTGTCATCTCTGGACAGAACCTGAAAAAAATGTTATGAAACATACGTTAAAGGATATAATTTTTCTATCGGTACAGATGCAAACAAGCTTGGCCATTTCATCATTACGGAATACGTTAACTCTACTTGGCTACTTGCAGTAATCCCAGGGCAACACCGAGGTCAGAAAAACACCATTTCTTGGCTGGACGCTGTAAAGATCCTAGGGTAGTAGTGTGGCAGGAAAACCATGATAAACATCTGCAATAAACACAACATTCATTGTGTTAGATATAAATTTTGCCTAAAATACACAAAGTAAAAACTCATGGTCTCTAGAATTGGTCAGGATGCTCTCATTTCTTACCTGAATACATGCAACAGAATTACGGTAATAAGAAGTGCTGGCACACATCACTACTTACCTAGACAGAAGGAGATCAGACAGTCTGTGCTGTGGTGTAGGCCTACACCTTAACTTACCTCAATACCAGCAGTGTGCCCCATTAATTGCCACAGATAAGCTCACTACAATCTCTTGGCATGCCAGAAAAACAAATGGTGGAAAATGTGTTGGTACATGTCTCTCTCTCCCTGTGCACCTGCAAATTCCCTCATCCTTGTATCAATTTGGGACCCATCAATGTTACCTGGATACTCACAGAACTCTGAGGTTAAACCCTAGTAAGATATACTTTCCACTCTTGAATGGATACCTGCAAAAACTCCGTGGTTACTCATGTAATTAGAACAATATGATAAATTACCTGGATACTTGCAGCCTGTCTACCAGTATGAGTGAAAAATACACATTCTCTCTTGACAAGACTACAGGAAAAACTACTGCTTGCTAGTACTATTAGGGACAAATTAATTTAACATACCTGCCAACAACAAGTTAGCTATGTAATAATTATTTTTAAGACCCCTATCTGAAAATAAGATCTACAATGAATCAGTGTCACATCATCTCATACCTGCGTATGACCAAACATCTGAACAGGATACCTGCACAAACATTTGATAACATGAGTGTTAGGTACACCATCACCACTTATATGTAGGAAAATCATATGATCCATTTTATGGTTAAGGCCTACATCATCACTTACCTCAGTACTTGCTATGGATTTTATTAACTAGCATGGATAGGCCCACAGTGAAATCTCCCCATGAACCTGAAAAAAAAAAACGTAGATGTGTTTTGTACACATCTTATTCTATTGGGATGCCTGCAAATCCTTGGTCATTTGTATCCTTTTGAGCCTCACCAACATTATCTGGATAACTCTAGAAATGTGAGGTTAAACCCTAGTAAGAGATACCTTCCTGTCTTGAAGGGATTCCTGCAGAAATCCCATGGTCTATAATGTGGTGGTGGACAGTAGGAGAACTACCTGGCTCTGTCTACCCATCTATCACTACAGGTGTATGAAACATATCATCTTTGAACAAGAATACAGTAAAATCTCATGTTTACTAGTATTGTTTAGGTCACATTAATTTCTGAACTGCATATATGCTAGAAACATTGTTAATATAGTCTTGAAAAGATCATTATTCACATATAGGAAAACATGAGTTATTGCCACTTGATCTCATATCTGTGCACCAGAAAAGGAGTGAGGGACACTTGCAAAACAAGGTAACAGTGTGTTAGGGAAACCTGACTCACTCACCTAGATATCTGAAGATCAGAGGGTCTGTACTGAGGTAAGACTCATCACTTGGTTACTAACAAGTTCCTGTTAACAACCATTGGTAGAGTCACTGTGATCTCATGACTGCTGGAAACCGACAACGCATTAGCCAAGTGTGTTGAAGGACAAAAAGCTTGTCCTGTTGACAATGAACACACAAACACTTGCAAATAATCAGACACTTCCATCACCATAGGAACCAGCAGCACTACCTGGATTTTGCCAGAATCTCAAGCTAAAAGCCATTGTTAGAGGCACCATCATCTCTCTTCTGAATACCTGTAGAAATCTCATTGTAAATACCGTGGTGTGGAACAGTAGAATAAGTTACCTGGACACCTGCATATCTCTCACTTGCTACTAAGGTTAAACACACTTTCTGTCAAAGCTCTAAAATAATAAGGATTAATGCTTACTGGCGTTGGTTGGGACAATATCATTCTTAATTGAATACCTGCAAAAAGCATGATAATACATTATTCCTTACCTGGATACCAGCAGTGCCCCTTTATAAAGGGATCCTTATAAAGTTCACCATGATATCTACATAGAAACCTGGAAACACACTGTGACAAATCCATCTACAGTCATAACTTCCATACCTGGATCCTGAAAATAACCTTGTGACACCTGTCATCACTGCAGGACCCACCAACTCTATGTGAAATCTCGCAGTGCACTAAGAGCTACGCCATTGTTAGAAACACCATCATTTCTTGACCACACTCCTGAAAAAATAACACAAGCTAATTACTGTTACTTGTAGCTCCATGAATAAATACATGGATTTTTGCAAATAGCTCAATGATCATATGGTTAAACACATTTTTTTCTAAAATATAAACAATAGTATAATGTGGTCACTAGAATTTGTAAGGTCTCTGTAATTACTTACCTGCCAACTGGCAAAAAACGCATGGCCACAAAAAGCGTGATGCGTCATGACTTCCTTAGATGTATGAAGGTCAGAAGGAACACGCTACGGTTTCAGCCCCCACCATCACTTACCTCCATACCAACTACAACCAATGCTAACCACCACTGACGGGCTTACTGTGATGTGTTGACATGAATCTGGAAAACACAGTACAGTAAATCTACTGGGTACATGTCTCATTCTACCTGTACACATGCAAATTCCCTTGCACTTGTATCACTTCAGGATCTGTCAACACTACCTGGAAAAATCAGATGATGACATAAAACTCCAGGAGGAGACACCTTCCGCTCCTGAAGGGATACCTGCTATGGCCCCTTAGTCAATAGTGCTGTGAAGGACAATCTGATAAATTACATGAATACCTGCATATTCCTTTTCCATTCATAGTATTAAGTACATATTATCTGTAAAGGAGTATATAAAAATATCATTCTTACCTGTATTAAGAACAAATTTAACAACACACATGACAAAAACTATGTAAATATGAGTGTCCAAAACATTAATTTGTAGATAGTGAAATTGAGGATGTCTCTAATGAGTGCCACGTTATCTCATACCTTTACACTAGCCAAGACCTTAACAAACATGTTAACACTGTGCTGAGAGACACCATCCTCACATACCTAGATATCTGAAGAGCAAATGATCTGTATGGTCCCACCGCAACCATTCTTAGGTTCACTGTAGATATCATGACTGCTGGAACCTTTAAAAAAGGCATATGAGAAGTGTGCTTAAGGGCTAGGATACAACTTGTTTTATCTTTAACAAACAAAGCACCAGCACATAATTGCAGTCACCTCATAAAGGGAACCATTAGCAACACCTGGACCTTGCAGAACTTCAATGTCAACATCAGTGACAGAGACACACCATCTCTGAGGACCTGTAGAAATCTCATGGTCAGTATTGTGGTGTGCAACAGGAGGGTAACTTAGCAATACACTTACCTGCACACCAGCAGTGCCCCTGATTACATCAATGAGAGGCTCACAGTGCTGGCCTGACAGGCACCTGAAAGACATTATGAAGTCTGTGCTAAAAAACACAACTTTTTCTACCAGGATATCTGCAAATGACCTGGCCCCTTCATCATTACAGATACACCAACTGTGCATGGATATTTTCAGTAATCAAAGATCAGTACAGACGTCAGACAGAACTCAGCATTCCATCACTGGACAGCAGCCAAAAACCTTGGGTAGCAGGGTGGTGGGGACACCAGGATACATACCAGGATATGTGCAATCCTTCACTCACAGGGTTAAATGTAACATTTTCTAATATAGAAAGTCAAAACTCGTCTTTTCTAGAATTGGTAAAACTCTCATTTCTTACCCAAATACTAGCCAAAAACATCACAGAAACAGGGGAGTGAGGACACGTCACCAGTTACCTATATCTATCAAGGTCAGATGGCCTGTGCTAGGGTTTAGGACCACAGCTGCACTTGCTCGATGCCAGCCTTGTTCCAGGTTAACCACCACTGACTGGCTCACCTGGCTATCTTGACATGAATCTGGAAAAACACATTGTACAAAATGTGTTCAGCACACATCTCATTCTACCTGTATATCTGCAAAGTCCCTTGACCCATTGTATGATGTAGGGATGTATAAACATTACCTGGATAACTGCAGAAGCCCCAGGTCAAACCCTAGTGAGGACACCTTCCTCTGTTGAAGGGACACCTGAGAAAAACCCCATGGTCAGTATCATGGTATGGAAGATATGACAGATTACCTGGATACCTGTCCATCTGTCCAACACAATGAGTGCAAAAAAATGATCTCTGAAGGATACAGTGATATCTCATGCTTACCAATACTGTAAGGGATGAATCAGTTTCTGACCTGCATACATGCCAAACAAGGTGGGAGTCTAGAAAATATCATTAAGTACCTGCATACCTGAAAATAAGGTGTCTAATGAGTTAATGTTACATCATCTCCTATGTGTGCAGTAGCAAAGAACTTACTGGGAAACCTAAACAAAAGCTTGGGTCACAGTGTTACAGACACCACCCTCACTCACCTGGATATGTGAAGATGAGATGATCTGTGCTGCGGCAGGACCCACTTCATCACATGTGTGGTCACCACCAAGGTCCCATTAACAACTATTGTTTGGTTCACTGAGATGTCATGACTGCCAGAACCTTGAAAAACACTTCCCACAAGTGTGTTGAAGCATGCAAGTTGTTTAACTGCAAGAAAAGAGGTACATTCACCAGTAATAATCGTGGTCACTTCCACCCCTGGGGGAAGCCTACACACATACCTGGGTCTTAGCAGAACTTCAAGGTCAATGCCACTGTTACATGCACTATGCTCTCTTCTCTGAGTAACTGCAGAAATCTTATGGCCAATACTGTGGTGTGCAGTGTAGGATAGGTTACCTGGATGTGCATATCCTTCTGTCCCTACTAAGCTTAACCACACATTATATCTAAATTCTGAAAAAAAAAAAAATGACAGCAAATATGTACTAGCACTGGTTAGGACAATATCATTTCCTCACTGAATACCTGCGTAAAAATATGGTAACAGAATAGTTAGGAACCCCATCCACACATACCTACATATCTGAACATCAGATTGCTGTAGGGTGATTAAGATCTACAGCCTCACACACCTGGATGCAAACAAAGCACCATTAACTACCATTAATGATCAAGGCACCATGGCTTCTTGACAGGAAGTTAAAGAAGACTTTGAAACTAAAGGGTCTATGGACAGGCCTTTCTACTAGGACACTGCAAATAGGCTTGATCGCTGTCATCACTGTAGGACCCGTATCAGCTCCACATGGGCTCTCGCAGCACTCCCAGGTCTGCGCCCTCGTTAGAAACACCATCACCTCGTCCTGACTCACCTGCAACACCACCAAAGTTACCACTGTGCCGCCCAACTCCATCATCACGTGGATACCCACAATGCGCTCGACACTCACACAGTTAAAAACACATTTTCTCATCAATGGGAAGCAGTAGGATCACAAGATTGCTGGAATTTATACAGTACTCTCTTTTCTTACCTGAATACCTGAAATAACTCACATGGCAAAACAAGTTTAGCCAACTGACCTCACTTCCCTCGATACGTGAGGATCAGAGGGCCCGATGTGGTGAAGGTGCACATCTTCACTTAGCTGGATACCAGAAACGTCCCGTGAACAACCAGGAAGTTAACCTTGGTCTCTTGATAGGAACCTCAAAACCGACGACGTGTGTGAAAGGAGCAGAACTGGTTGGAGCAGACCACTGCAAATTATCCCAGACCTTTCCTTCCTTATGAGAATGTCACGTCCACCTGAACGCTGGCAGTACCCCGAGACCATGGCCATGTCTGATGCGACACCATCTCACTACGGACACCTGCAAAGTTCCCATGGCTGCTGCTGGGGTCAGCAAGGGTATGCTAATTACCGGGATATGGCAATCCCTCACCACTCACAGGGATGAACATTTTCCCTAAAATATAAAAAGGAAAACGCCAGGGTTTCCAGAATTGTTAAGAACTATCATTTTCTACTTGAATACCTTTAAAGAAAGAATGGTAACAATGGTCGTTAGGGAAGCCATTAATTACCATTACCTAACTTCCTGAAGAGTGGCTGTGCTGTGGCACAGGCCCACATCATCACTTACCTGCACACCCACAATGCCCTCCACTCACGAGTAGCGTTAGGTTCACTGCGATTTCTTGACAGGAACTGGGGAAGACATTATGGAATGTGCATTAGATGGCATCACTTCTTCTACCAGGACACTGCCAAATAACATTGGGCACTTCCTCATTATGAGACACATAAAGTGTCCCCCTGGCCACTTGCAGTAATCCAAGGTTAATACCAATGTCTGGTAAAACCACACTGCTATGACTGCATACTTGTGAACACCCTGTGGCTGGTAGTGTCATTGAGAAGCCACGACAAACAACTGTACCTATGTAATCCTTCATACTCACAGGGCTAAAAATGACCATTCCAAGAAATATAAGAGGTGAAAACACACGGTCTCTGGAATTGGCAAGGATGCTATCATTTCATACCTTAAAAAATATCATGGCAAGCAAAGTGTGAGGACACATGACACTTACCTAGATGTGTCAAGGTCAGATGGAATATGCTGTGGTTTAGGCCCTCAGCTCACTGATTACCTCCATATCAGCACTGTCTCACATTAACTGTCATTAACGGGCTCTCTGTCATGTCTTGGCACGAACCTGAGATAGCACCCTGGAAAATGCGTTGGGTCCATGAATCATTCTACCTCCACACCTGCAAATTCCCTTGGTCACCTGGACCCATTGACACCACCTGGACACTTGTGAAACATCGAGGTGAAACCCTAAGAAAAGACCTCCTCCTCTTGATGGGATACCTGACAAAATTCCCCCAGTCAATACCAGGATCATAGCAATATGATACACTGCCCGGATTATGTAGTATCCCCAAACAGGAGCACAAAGAATCGCATATTTACTAGTATCATTAGGGTCAAACTGATTTAACGGCACATATGCCCAAAACAAGATAAATATGCCTCCAACATTAACTATGTGGATCTATGAAATAAGGTGTCATTGATGAGTTAATGTCATATCATCTCATACCTGTGTAGTAGCAATGACCTGAACAGGATACCTGCAAACATAACACAAGTAACATAACCAACAGCACACACCACTTATAACGCCAGTGCTGGGGACATCATCGGGACCTATCTTCATCTTGCAGATCAGATGGTTTGCAGAGCGGGAGGACCCGCTTTATCACTAACCTGGTTAATAGCAAGGTTCCATTAAACCATTTTAGGCTCACTCTGTTCTCTTGACAAGAACCTGAAGACACACGTGGGACAAATGTGTTGGAGGACACAACTTGTTCTACCAGAACACCCGCTAATAATCCTTTTCACTTCCACTATCAGGGAACACAAGAGCTCCACTTGGGCCCTTGCATGGCCGACTCCTGAGAAAACACTGGTCGCTCTGGGGTGAGGACTCCTTGAGACACAACCAACCCTGAGCACCCACAGGGGTTATCTCGAAGAGGTAAAAAGCGTACACTCAAGGTCACTAGAATCAGTAAGGAGTCTTATCACTCCTTATCTGAGTATCTATACCAAAATCATGGTAATAAGAAGTGTTAGGACACCATCATCACTTACCTAGATACCTGAAGATGAGGCGGTCTGTGCTGTGGGTTAGGCCCCCACCACCACTTACCTCAGTACCCGCTATGTGCCTCATTAACTCTGACGGATGGGTTCCCCAAGATGTCTTCACATGAACCTGAAAACACACCAGAGATAATGTGTTCTCACACGTTTCAGTCCACCTGGACAACAGCAAATTCCCTTCGTCAAGTGCAGTATTTGGGGACCCATCCGTATTACTGGGTAATTGCACAACTCAAGGGTTAGATTCTACTTAGACATAACTCACTTTTCTGAGTGGATACTTACAAAAATCCCATGGTCAATATCATGGGCATGGAATATCTGATAAATTATCTGGGTAAGTGACTGTAAATCTATTGATGTGGGTGTAAAAAAACACGTTATTTACGAAAAGGGGACAGTAAAATCGCAGGCTTACCAGCATTTTTACAGACAAATTAATCTCTGAACTGTACATATGCCAGAAACAAGATCAATATAAAGGTCTAGGAAACATGAAATACCTATCTGAAGATAAGAAGGTCTCTAATGAGTTATTAGCACATCACTTCATATTTATATACCAGCTCAGAAAGTAATGGGATACCTGTAAAAATGACAACAGCACTGTGTTAGGGATACCACCCTTACTCACCTAGAGACTGAAGAAGAGCCCGTCTGTACTGTGGTAAGACCCACTTTATCACTTACCTGGTCACTAGCAAGGCCCTGTCAGTGACCACTGTTAGCCTCATTATGATGTCATGATGGCTGGAACCTTAAAAACATACCAGCAAGCTTCCGGGAAATTGGCGGCTCCCGCCCGTGCCCCGGAGTCCCCGCTGGCCGCGAATCCCGCGCTAGCGGCTGGGGCTGCGGCGGAAGTCGAATGCCCGCCGCCTCGCCAGCCGCAGCCCCAGCGCAACGTCCTCGCTGCCCCGCGGCTTCGAGCCCCAAACTCCCGAGGACTTGGGGCCGCAGAGTTTGGCGGAGCTGCAGGAGATGTTGAAGCGCCAGGAGAGACTTTTGCGCGATGAAAAATTCATTTGCAAATTGCCCGACAAAGGTAAAAAGGTCTTAGGCTCTGTTGTCAAACTGAAAGCTGCCATTGCAGAACGTGAAGAAGCTAGAGTCCAAGGTGAACTGTTTCGTCCTGTTAGTGCAGACTGTAAGCTAAGGCAAAAAGCAATTGCAGTTATTGACGTGGACACGGATAAGGCCCAGAATTCTGACCAGATACTTGATACTTCATCACTAGTTCCCAGCTGTTCCTCCATAGATACCATCAAGTTACGTAAAGCAACCTCACAACAACAGGGACCTGCACATCCTACTCACAAAGGCGATGAAGAGGCTCCAGTACACAGTGAACAAGTGTCCAGCTCCCAGCAGCAGAACCAGTGCGCCTTCCTCGTCTGAAGCCAGTGAGCGTCTCCCTCAGCATCGTGTTTCAAGTCAAGCAGAAGATAATTCTAGCAGCTCTGACCACCTGTTTATTGAGAGGTCACAAAGGATCACAGTTGTGGACCCAGATGAGCACCAGTCACAAGAAAATACTGGTAGTGAGAATGAGACAGGCTTTGGTAGTGGGACACAGAAGAAACCTCATTACATGGAAGTGCTAGAAATTCGAGCCCCAAACCCTGTGCCCCCACCGCATAAATTTCAAACCAACGTATTACCTTCACAACAAAAGGATTCATTCGGTCATTGGCAGAGAGGAGGGCCCGCCATTTCCTCAGCAGAACGACAGCACAGGGATAAGAAGCGTCTTGATGACATCACAGCAGCTCGGCTTCTGCTGCTTCACCATCTGCCTGCACAGCTGCTCTCCGTAGAAGACTTTGGCACTTCAGAAACAGCAGAAACAGAATTATGAGATGCAAGCCAAGCTTGCAGCACAAAAATTAGCAGAAAGACTGAATATTAAAATGTAGAGCTATGCTCCAGAAGAGGAGATTTGGAGGAAATACCGAGAAGGGATGAAGATGATGATCTGTCCTCCGATGATGAATTCTGAATATTGCGTTTAGTCACATTGTATTAAAATTTTGCAGTATGTTGTGTGTTGGTCTGATACCTTAGTATATAGTAGAGCACACTTTTTCCCTATAAGCCAAATGAAAGCAGAAAAGTGCTGCTTCCCTTATTCTTATTACCTCTATCAAATAGCATTTATTATATCTTTCAGTGAAAAGCATTTAGTTGTCCCAGGCACCACCTAAAGTGAATTAGGAAAATATAGTTCCCTCCTTGTCTGAGTAATGAAGGGAGTGTATTAGAGATTTTTGTGCATGTTTGCATGGGGTTATTGAGGTATTGGATGTGAACTGCTAAGGAAGACACTTAGAAAATGCTTACATGTTTGTTTCCTTCTTCTGTCTTCCCCTTAGGAAGAATGTTACATTTCTTTTGAGTAGGAACAGCAGTACTTTTAGTTGATGCTGGAGGGTGGACAGTCTTTCTAGATGATGAGATTGGCTTGGGGTACTATGAGGTATAGAAAAAAATCTAAGATGACTGATGTAGGTGAAGGGAGAAGCCGTTCTTATGCTTCACTGGAGTTCATTGCTCTAATAGATGATAGGTTTAGTTTGGTAAGAAAACCCAGGTTTGTTTTTTTCAAAGCTACAGTTGAATTGTCATCAATATATTGCTTTCTGTCCCCCGAAAGAGGCATATGTAGGCTGCAGAAACTTCAGTTTCGTATATATAATTGTTTATGTAATTTTAAGTGATCATATGATTGTCTCTAGAGAAATTAACACTTATCAAAGATTTCTTTGTCTAATATGTTGGAGCCTTTAAACAGTGTTGAAAGGAAGAATAAAATAATTAGAGAAAAAAATTACCAGCAAGTATTTTTACCTGAAAAATAAAGGGGCACCTGCAAATAATCTTGGTGACTTCCATTATTAGGGGAGCCATCAACACTGCCTGGACATTGGCTAAGCTTCAAGTTGAACACCACCATTAAAGCCATCGTCATCTCTCCTCTGAGCACCTGTAGGAAACTCACGGCCAGCATTGTGGTGTGGAACAGAAGCATAACCTACCTGACTACCTGTCCATGCCTCCCACACTAAGTGTAAACACTCACCAAATAAAAACTCCACAATACTAAGGGATAATGCTGCTAACGTTGGTTGGGACAATGTCATTTCTTACTGCATATCTGTGTAGAAACACACCATCAGAAAAGTTCTGAGCACCACCTCCACTCACCTTAACATCCAAAGGTCAGATTATGTGTATAGTGCTTTATGCCCACACCATCACATACTGGGATGCAGACAAAGTTCCACTAGTAATCACTGAGATTTACCATGGTATCTTCACAGAAACCTGAAAAACCCATAGATACAGGTGTGCCCCTGGACACCCCTTTTCTACCAGGACCCTGCAAATAACCTTATTTCACTTCCATCAACATAGGACCATTCATCAATTGCAGCTGGATCCTGCAATACTTCAACGTCTACACCACTGTTAGAAACACCATCATCTTCTTGACTGGTCACCGGCAAACATACCCTGCTTACTAGTGTGCTGCCCACCTCCATGATCCTTACATGTGTGCCCACATACCGATCCACACTCACACAGTTAAACATCAATTTTCCTAAAATACAGAACAGTAGGAGAATGTGATGACTAAAATGGGTAAAGCAGTTCTCACTGAACTATCTCACCATGATGGCCTGAAATGACTCTGACACAAACTGTGGGAAAGGTTTTCTGCAAACGTCTCATTTTACCTCTCCACCTACAAATGCACTTTGTAGCTTGTATCATTTCGGGGTCCACCAATTCTGCCAGACTGCTTGCAGAACTCCAAGCTCAAACCTAAGAAGAGACTTGTTGCTCTTTGAAGAGACACGTACATACCCTTCTGTCCCTCGTGATGCACAGTATCTCTAAACAAGAATACAAATACTCATTGTTACTAGTATAACAGGAACACATGAATTTCTTAGAACACATGCCAGAAACAATGTAAATAGGAAAACTGCACACAGTAATACACAGATATCTGAAAATAAGACTGTCTCTAAAGAGTTAACATCACATTATTTCTTACTTACACGAGGAAAGACCTCAGCAGAGTACCTACAAATAAACCCGGCATCACAAGTGTTCGGGACCCCATCCTTACTTACCTAGATGTAGATTAGATGGTCTGCACTGCGGTAAGAGCCACTTTATCACCTACCTGGTCACAAGTAAGGATCCATTAACAACCATTGTGAGGTGCAATGTGTTTTCCTGACAGGATCTTGAAAAAGCACACACAACACACACGCCTAAAAACTCAAATTGTTCCCCAGGACACCTGAACGTAACCTTGTCTGCTCCCATTATGATGGACACAGCAACTCCACCTGGACGATTACATTAGTCAGGTTAACACTGTGCTCAGGAGAACCCGTTTCTTAACTGGACACCTGCCGAATTCTGTGGTTACCAGTGGGGTGTGACCTCCATGACAATTTCCTGTAGATGGGCAATCCCTCCACCCTAACAGGGTTATAAATTTTATCTAAGCGTAGGGGTGAAAACTCATGGTTTCTCTCATTGGTAAGAGCTACATCATCTCTTCCCTCAACCTGCAAAAAACTAATGGTAACAAGAACACTATCACCACTTACCTGGACATCCAGAGAGCACCTGACCTGTGCTGTTTTAGGCCCACATCCTTCCTTGCTTACCTGCTCGTCAAAATTAGTACCGGCATGGTCACTAGCATTTGTTGGGACAATATCATTTCTTACCTGAATACATGTAAAACAACAACACGTTAACAGAAAAGGTAGGAAATCCATCTGCACTTACCTGCATATCGGACGGTCAGATTCTAGGGTGCTTACGGCCCACGTAAGCACTTATCTGGATAAAAGCAAAGTCCCGCCATTGATCATTATGATGTTTGCCAGGGTTTCTGACAGGAACCTGAGAAACACTGTGACAAACATGTCTATGGAATACACGCTCTCCGAGGACACCGCAACTCCCTCGTCCGCCCCCATCCCTGCAGGACCCGCCTCAGCTCTGCCTGGGATCTCGCATCAAGTACTCCAGGTCTGTGCCACTTTCAGGCAACGTCTTGTTTTGATTGCTCACCTGCAAAAACACCACAGTAACTTGTGGGACCCACACCTCCAGGTCTCCACATGAATATCGCAAAGTGCTCACCATTCACATGGTTGAATACACGTTAGCTCTAACACATAAAAACATAGGAATATGTTTCATACAAGCGGTAGAAAACACGATCATTTCTACCCGAATACCTGGAACAAAAGCACACGGTGAAACAAGTTCAAGCAATCCACGTCTCTGAACTGGATACATGCGGCCCAGAGGGTCTGCTGCCGGGCAGGTGTGCCACGTCACATACTTGGATACCAGCAAGGTCGCCCCTTGACAACTATTGTCATGATCGTTGACATGTCTTGACAGGAATCTGAAGAAATACATTCTGATATATGTGTAAAAGCACACTTGTTCTACTAGGACACCCGCAAATAACCTCGGCCAATTTCATCATTACCAGAACATCCTCTCCACCTGAATGCCTGAAAGTATTCTGAGATCAAGACCATTGTTGGGTACGTTTCATTATGGCACACCTGAAACATTCCCATGGTTACTGCTGGGGTCTGGGACATTATAATTACCAGTACATGGCAATCCCTCAACATGCTCAGGGATAAACAGACATTTTCTCTAAATGATAAAAGGTGAAAATTAATTGTTTTTAGAACCGATAAGGACTTTCTCGCTCCCTACCTGAACAGCTGCACAGAAATCCCGGTAACCACAGCTCTCAGGGACACCATCCAC